AAGCAAGGAGACTTGCACAAAAACAAAAGGCTTGTTCTCCAATCGTTTCCAACGCAGTTGCCTTGGTGAAATCAATTTCCTTTAGACTTTTACACAGGTCAAAGGCCTCCTTTTCAATCGTCTTGACATTGGATGGGCACTTGAAAGCAAGGAGACTACGACAACTGCCAAAGGATGATTCTCCAATCGTTTCCAACGCAGTTGCCTCGGTGAAATCAACTTCCTTTAGACTTTTACCCAGTTGAAAGGCCTTATCTCCAATAGTCTTGACATTGGATGGGCACTTGAAAGCAAGGAGACTAGAACAATTGTAAAAGGCTCGATATCCAATCGATTCCAACGCAGTTGCCTTGGTGAAGTCAATTTCCTTTAGATTTTCACAAACTGCAAAGGCCTCCTCTCCAATCGTCTTGACATTGGATGGGCACTTGAAAGCAAGGAGACCAGGACAAACGTAAAAGGCTTGTTCTCCAATCGTTTCCAACGCAGTTGCCTCGGTGAAATCAATTTCCTTTAGCTTTGTACATTCCTCAAAAGCGTTCTTTCCAATAGTCTTGACATTGGATGGGCACTTGAAAGCAAGGAGACTAGGACAGATTTTAAAGGCATATGCTGCAATAGTTTTCAATGCAGTTGCCTCGGTGAAATCAATTTCCTTTAGACGTTCACATTTAAAAAAGGCGCTCTCTCCAATAGTCTTGGCATTGGATGGGCACTTGAAAGCAAGGAGACTAGGACACTTGTAAAAGGCTCCATCTTCAATCGTTTCCAACGCAGTTGCCTCGGTGAAATCAATTTCCTTTAGATTATCACAATATGCAAAGGCTTGAACTCCAATCGTCTTGACATTCGATGGGCACTTGAAAGCAAGGAGACTAGGACACTTCCGAAAGGCTGAATCTCCAATCGTTTCCAACGCAGTTGCCTTGGTGAAATCAATTTCCTCTAGATTATCACAATATGCAAAGGCTTGAACTCCAATAGTCTTGACATTGGATGGGCACTTGAAAGCAAGGAGAAAAGGACACTCGCAAAAGGCTCGTTCTCCAATCGTTTCCAACGCAGTTGCCTCGGTGAAATCAATTTCCTTTAGCTTTGCACATTGCCTAAAGGCATATTGTCCGATAGTCTTGACATTGGATGGGCACTTGAAAGCAAGGAGACTAGGACAACTGCCAAAGGCATATGCTGCAATCGTTTCCAACGCAGTTGCCTCCGTGAAATCAATTTCCTTTAGCTTTGCACATTCCTCAAAGACTCCCTGTCCAATAGTCTTGACATTGGATGGGCACTTGAAAGCAAGGAGACTCGGACACTCGTAAAAGGCTGAATCTCCAATCGTTTCCAACCCAGTTGCCTTGGTGAAATCAATTTCCTCTAGATTTTCACATTTTGCAAAGGCCTTCTGTCCAATAGTCTTGACATTGGATGGGCACTTGAAAGCAAGGAGACTAGGACAACTGCCAAAGGCATATGCTGCAATCGTTTCCAACGCAGTTGCCTTGGTGAAATCAATTTCCTTTAGCTTTGAACAATATGCAAAGGCCTGCCGTCCAATAGTCTTGACATTGGATGGGCACTTGAAAGCAAGGAGACTAGGACACTTGTAAAAGGCAAATTCTCCAATCGTTTCCAACGCAATTGCCTCCGTGAAATCAATTTCCTTTAGATTTTCACATTCACAAAAGGCATAATCTCCAATAGTCTTGACATTGGATGGGCACTTGAAAGCAAGGAGACTAGGACACTTGCGAAAGGCCCATCCTCCAATCGTTTCCAACGCAGTTGCCTCGGTGAAATCAATTTCCTTTAGATTTTCACAAAACAAAAAGGCTCGTTGTCCAATCGTCTTGACATTGGATGGGCACTTGAAAGCAAGGAGACTAGGACACTTGAAAAAGGCTCCATATCCAATCGTTTCCAATGCAGTTGCCTCGGTGAAATCAATTTCCTTTAGCTTTGCACATTCCTTGAAGACTCCCTCTTTAATAGTCTTGACATTAGGCCCGCGCACAATCAACTTTGTCATGGTTCGTTTGATTTCTTCTGTGATTTCTTTGTCTTCACTATCGTACACAAATTCGACATGTTCGACAATCTCTTCTTCTTCATCATCGTTGTTTGATTTTGGTGGCATTTCTTCTTTCTCATCCATTGTACCCGGTACTTTTATTGTGTAATATCTGTACTGCTGTGTAATGAGTGAGTCAGTGATGATGATGAGGATACACGTTTAGACCTGTTTTTAACAAAAGTAGTCATTTTACACTTTTTATGTGAAATAATTAGGGATTTAACACTTTCATTTCACTCTGGGATTTCTGTGTAGCAAATGTACCATGTTCTACGTGTTTTATTTCTGCCACTTTTGCCGTTGACGTTGTCCGAGTGTGCCCGGTCCGACATTCCCGCCCGATAGCGAAACACATGGGTTCGCACATTTTTCTCACTAAGTTTTGGCGTGATTTACTAAGAAGCTATGACTGACGCTGGAGCAGTTGCCTCGCAACCATTTTATCAACACAATGTGAAAACAAAAGTCCTCAATGAAACGTCTGGGAATCCGCAGATTGATATGAGAATGGAGAGAAAATGACGAGGTTCCAAATATTGTATCGTCTACTACAGTACCTATTAAAATAATAGTTTTGGGTCATTTGGTAAATTTTTGAAAGCTTGAAGGGTGAAAACGACAGTATTTAATGATGATCGTAGAGCATTGTACCCGTACATTGTCTACACTGAAATGTCAGAGTAAAATAAAAGTGTTAAATCCCTAATTATTTCACATAAAAAGTGTAAAATGACTACTTTTGTTAAAAACAGGTCTAAACGTGTACCTGTACTGTAGATGATTGACGATCGACGATAAAACAATGACTCTGGCATGTACCGTGCACTACGCAAACCCTACAGTACAGTCAGGTGCCAGAATGACTTTGATGACGGGCACGCGCGTGCAATCAAATACAGCATGCAGCATTTGGAATATTGAAGATACGAGTATGAACCACGCACGCAGAGCTAAGCAGTTCATCAACAATTGACGTTATACAGGGTGCAGTACCAGTAGGATAAACTAAATCAATCAATCAATCAATCAATCATCTGATTTTGAAGACTCTCCTCTCCAGGGATCCCATATTCTTCATCACTACGGTACTACCGTAGTTTGATGGGTGGATGCAGCACGAACCGCAATGCGACAGAAGAAAGCAGGGATTCCATTCATATATTCATATGATGGAGTGCACGGACCGATTACTACTGGTGGCGGCATTCGAGTTTCAATTTGGATGCAGAGCAACAACTATATACGATGTACGATGCTACTGCCCTTTCCAGCCTCTACAAAATACTTCTGGGGGATCCTTGAATGAATGAATATGGTATGGTATGGTGTGATATGATATGGTACCGATAGGGCTGCTGCTTCTGGAAAAGTACAGTAGGCAATCCTAGTGCGTATATCTATGTATACATGCATCTGGGCCGTACATCCGTATATTGTAATACCTTTTGCACGCCGCGCCGCTCTGCCCATTGGAAAAAGGGATTGATTAATTAATTGAATGATTGAATGATTGATTCGCAACAACATCAACATTGTTGTGGTATGGACCATGGACAATAAGGATTGCAGTCGAGGATATCGGTACTACTGAAATGCTGCCGCGTGGAATGAATCGAATCGTTGACTGAATAAGTCTTTTTGATACAGCATGATATGGACGGTAAATAGTAATAGTGTATATAATAGCAGTAGCAGTAGCAGTAGCAGTCTCTATGAGTTTTAATAAACTATATTGGTGCCTACCTATACAGTCTTTTGTTATGGCATATGAGTCAATGGCGTCACCACTCTACTCTGCACTTTCTTCCTATCCTAGACGAGCACTATAGTGAATTGCAGGGCAAATACATATTGAATATTGGATTATACTGCTATGGCCTTGGAAGAATTGAATACAGCATACTATTACTCAAAAGCCTGCAATAACGGATCAACAAATGATGATTCATTCAGGTGATCCGAATGCAGCCACCACCAACGAACAACAAAAAGCCCATTCGATCTTTTACATTTCCTTAGCATACATCATATATAAAATAATGATATATTCATGAATAACTCACATGCAATGATGATGTACGTATCTATCATCCGCTCGAACAAATTGGGGCCACATAATAAAACTCATCTGTGATGTGTTCTATGTACATCAGCATACTATACGAAATTTGGACGATGAAAAATTTCAAAAAAAATTGAAATTGTGGTGCGCGAAAATTCAAATGGTCCGTTCTTCGTGTCACCTCGCCAATCAGAAACGATCGAAAAAACTCGAGGACAACTTTGATGCAAGACCCACTAAACGACTGATTTCTGGAGCTATTTTAAACTCACCAAAAGAACAATGCCAAAAGAACAATAGCGTTTAATCTCGGAAGAATCTGGGTGAAACAATGGCAATCTAAGTACGGTAGTCATGCCACTATCAGTGTATGGTGATGAATCGAATAAATGTTTGTACTATAGTACTAGGCCGACTAGTACTACCAGGCGGAGTCGCTTTGGCTGTGCTGTTCTTTGTCATGGACACCATTTTGAATTGATGCACTTTATCTAAATGTTCGCCATTGTAGTAGTGCTGGTCATAGAGCCAATAATAGAATAGATACTCGGTATGATAGTTGTTCAATGATGATTTTGAGATTGATGATGAACGATACCGCCCGGTACCCACTCTTGGTACACACATTAGCAGTGCCGTCGCTCGGATCACGAGTCGTCAGTCCCGGACGTAAATCAAATTCTTCGCTTGCCAAAAACGATGAGCCCCCAAGAGTAGTTGATCGTGCTATAAGCATCCCTCCAAATCGCCATCACAAGTGTTGTTTTTCCATCTCATAAAATCGAAAGGACAATCCATCCATCCATCCACCAATCAGTCAATCGATCAGTCAATCGATCAATTTTATATAATACTAAAATCAAGATGTCCTCCAAAAGTTCTTTTCAGTTGATTATTGCATTCTGCATATTGCTGTCAGTCCAAGCCGGTCTCATTTGCCCCCTGTGTGGAAGTGCCAGTAAAGTTCCAGCGAGATGGGATCATGTTGTCAGCACAAGTCCCTACAAGACTTGTCGCAGTGTCTATTTCGAAATGGCCATGAGACCCATCAACCATCCAACTTGCGCACCCATGCAACGTCAATATGGAGCCGCTTGCTGCAATGCTGGTGCACCACCACCACCTGCTCCAGCTCCCAAACCCGCCCCTATCCCCAGCAGTGGCCACCCCTATTGCCGAATCTGCCGTAACGACGACTTTCCTGGATTTCCCAATGCAATGGTCTCGGCTCGTTACGTGGGAACCTATTCGTGCGGATCCTTGTTTCATCGCGGAAAGAATGGACAGATTCCAGGTTTCATGTGTGGACCCATGCAAGATCGCATTCACGACAAGTGTGGTTGCGGCCAACAGCCACCCACCAACCGGCCAACGCCACCACCCGTTCCTCGGCCTACACCACGACCCACCCGTCGCCCCACTCCGGCTCCAACCCGCAGACCTACTCCTCGGCCGACTCCGCAACCAACTCGCAGACCGACGCCTGCTCCGACACCCGAACCTACTTCCAAGCCATCGATGGCTCCCTCCGAGTCACCATCAACATCACCATCCAGTAGCCCCACGACGACGAAACCAAGTGCGAGTCCCTCGGACAGTCCCACCGCTCCTCCCAGTGCAAAGCCATCCAAAAGTCCAACGTCAAGTCCGACGGCACCGACCGTCCGTCCCAGCGAGCCTCCTTCCACATCGCCCACGACGCTCGAAGAAATGTGTGACGGATCTCCTTTCAAAAATTGCTGCCTGAAAGGAAGTTCATTTTGTTGTCACGTGTGTTCCATCCAATTTTAAAAGGAAAAACCTTCTTCTTGGAAATGAAGCAACGAATGAATGGCATTAATCAAGCGTCATATATCATCATGCATCAACAAGAACGAAGCCGACATCGCTTTTGTATTATTAGATAGCTAACAACATATCATATCATAGCATTGTATAGCACAAGGTAATTTTCATGGATTTCATTATTAGGTAGGATAGTATGCTGCCTGTATGATATCCGGTAATGTGAAAGTCGGAAGCCAGCCATCAAGCTTCTTATTGTTTTTGATTGTGAATGTTGAATGTCACCAAAAGTCCGGTGTTTTGGGATGTGGCACATCGGAGTCTAAAAATAATAATTTTTTCTCCAATAATCGGACAAATCCCGGAACATTCAACATTACCGTTATTGTCTTTTGTCGATAAGTCAAAGAAAATTCTACTTAATAGCAGGTCGCTTAAAATCCGTTACTTCCGTTACAATTTCAGCGCCAACCTTTCCATCCTCCGATACTCACACGAAAATTCAGTTTCACGAACTAAATCAAACTGCAAACACACACACAACGAGAGGTGGCAGCTGACCAGAAGAAACTTCCTCCTCCTGGAAACATTATTTTATTATAGAAGCTCGAGCGTATCATAGGACTATCATACATTATCCAAAGATACAATGATGTCAATACTCTCATCCTCCATTCCCACGCTTTTGACACTCTTGCTGCTCTCATCATCATGGCTGGTTGGATCCGCCCAAGCTCGTGAAATGTGCAATCTTTGTGGCAGTCATTATGTGACACCCGATTGGGACAACACGGCATCCACGGCACCCTTCATGACCTGCCGACAAGTTTACTTTCAATTGGCAACTCTTGAATCACACGATCACCGATGCTCTCCACTTCAGCAGCAATTCAATTATGCCTGTTGTACGGGAAGTAGTAACACTGGTGGTGGTGGCGGTGGCGGTGGTGGTGCAGCACTCAGGGCACCACCCGTCAACACTGGTGGAAACGAACCAACGTGTAACATTTGCAACGATGGTTCCTATCCAGGAAACCCCAATAAATTCATTTCTGCACGATACGTTGGATCCTATTCCTGTGGAACCTTGTTTGAGCGAGGACGAGATGGTCACATTCCTTCATTCATGTGTGGTCCACTCAAACTCAATCTGCAGCAGTCCTGTGGATGTGGTCAGTTTGCTCCACCACCCACACCATCACCAGTGAGGAAACCAACTCGTCCACCCACAAGACCTCCCACAGGACGACCTACTCGTCCACCAACCCCACACCCCACCAGACGGCCTTCCCCACGTCCCACTCCGTCTCCTACTCGGCCACCCACTCCTTCCCCGACACCCAAGCCCACTCGTCAAAAGCCAACCAAACCACCCACACGGCCACCCACCGACAAACCAACCTCGGCACCGACGGAATTCTCGGCCATTGCACGAAAAGAAATGCCAGAGGGTGGTTCAAAAGTGGCCTTGAAATATGCCGGTGGATACAGTCAACGAAATTATGGACAACGACGTGGCCTCAAGGAGACCTTGTCCCAAGAGGCTCCGAAAGAGATGAGTGATTGAATGAATTCAATTGAATCCAATTGAATCCATCCATTTGACTGCCTACAAAACAAAAAGACGTAAACACGCTTACATTGAAGTCTCTTGGAGCCATTGGCTCAAAAAGACTGTAGACACCAACACAACACAAAACAAAACTAGACTGTAATTTTACTAGAAGCAAGAACTAAACAAATACAATACAAATCAACACAATCCATTCATGAATGAATGAAAATATGAATCAATGTAAAGTATCGAGCAAAGATGGAGACATTGTGTCATGTTTCATCATCACGAATTGACAATCAATCAATCAATCTGGTCTGTTGGCATCGCACCGTTATTTGAGATTTGGCAACCAGCTATCCGGTAGACCCAAAAATATCATTTGATTGGAAACTTTGCGTAGAAAGCGTTGTGGGTCATCATTGTTCTTTTTTTCTTGCATACTTTGAATGGCATTGTAGCACATGTCACTTACGTTAGGTCTGGGTCTGGATAATGGTTGTGGTTCTTGGCCGTCCGGGACCAGTGATTGCGTCAGTCGGTGAACAAAGACGGTGGATTCTCCTCCCGTGGCCTCATTGGTTCCATTCAACTCTTCGACGAGTTCCAATGCGTACTCTCCATCATGAGGTAAGGATGGATCACCATTGCCAACATCATCAGTGATGGTCCCGCCTTCTGGGAGACGATATTCCGTGGTCAATACAATCGTGCCCGGTTTGCATTGTCGTCCCACGGCCCGTGCCAGATCCACCAGAATGTGATGGGGCATGGCCGACGAAAAGCAAAAGATGACGTCGGCATCTCCAAAGAATTCGTAGGGATCGTCAAAGGAACCACAACTGAGTTGGATGGGAGCCAATGGAAGTTGGTGATTGCTGCCCAAGAAATATTCGGTAGAATCATTATCATCATCATTCATGGTAGAATACGAAAGTTTGTCCTCGGGTGGTACATTCAAACCAAATTGTGCTTGTTGGTTGGTGTTGGTATTGGTATTGGTAGTATCTGGCAAGTACAAACCACCGTCCGTTAGTGACACATCATCACTGTCCCCTTCATCGTCGTCATCACCAATTAAGGAATCGGACAATTCATTCAGCCAGTCGTCACTAGGACTTTTGGGAACGGTAAATTGTTTGTATTGTTTCCAATAATCATCCAGCTCTGAATTAGATGCTGCAGCTGGTTCCGTACTTCCGCCGCCAATAGAGCTGCTGCTTGGTTGTCGTGGTGCGGGACTAGTCGCAGCCGTGGTTGTGGTTGTGCTACTACTACTACCACTAGTACTGCTAGTACTGCTGCTTCTACTACTACTGGATCCATTTCGTCGACAGGATTCCAGTTTTTCGACGGCTTGTTCATGAATGCCCGGCAACAATTCGATGCCCCGCACCAATTTCCATGGATACAAGGCCGCCGCTACCAATACCAACCGACCAGTGCCGCTTCCCAAATCGCAAAAGGTTAGTGGACTATCATCCGCCTGATTGGGATGCAATTGACGGGCTCGTTCCAAGACATTGCAGAAGAATTCAATGTCAAATTCACCATAGACAAACTCTTGGGGTGGATCTTCTCCCTCGGAAATAAACGGCCAATATCCGTCCTTGCGACTCAGGGCGATTCGTTGATCCAATAAATTGGGCGGAAAGACTTCATCAATGGATTCCAAAACGGCCGAATGGCTGGGTTGTTGAAATGATGATAATAATGACAATGTACTTCTCGTGATGGACATTCTTCCTTTTGTTCGCATCAGCGACGACGACGATGGTGTTGGTGAGGATGATGATGATGATGAAGATGTCATCAAGCCCATGCTGGAAGAGGTGAAGGAATCAGCATGGTAATAATGGCTTGTTGAGAATGCTTCCGCAACAAAATTTCGACTGAATGATGATGATGATGATAAGCATAATGCCAGTATTATAGATAATGTGTAACAGTGCATGTTTGTTCGTGTTGACAGTTGGTGTTGATGATGAGCCTAGCTACTGACACATGCGTATCCGCCATGATGCGTATGCGTATGATATGATGGATCTACTCTGCGAGAGATTGCCACATATTTTGTAATTGCAGTGTACACGGATGTCACGGGCGGAGGAAGCACTTAGTTAGTCGGCGTAATCGTATAATCAATACTCTCAATCTCATTGTTTATATTTGTAGAGGAATATATATACCGGTAGCCCCATTGCAGAACAAAACTCTTTGATCATTTTGATATCTACTGCAATCATGCTTTGAAAGAAACACACTACCTATCGAAATGCCATGATTCGTTGAGTGTTGGCTTCGTCAGTCCTTTCCCAAATAGCATTTCTTCTAGTCGATGCCATGATCGATGCTTTTCCATTGTGACTTCCCATCCCTTCCTGGCGATGGCAAGTCGTTCTTCGGTATGTTCGATGTAATACAACGCTTTATCATGCATCTCTTGAATACTATGAAAGAAGACGACACTTTCTCCGTCTTCCAAGCTGTGCGGAAGCGAGACCATTTCGTCCATCAATACCATGGTGCCTGCCGCGAGTGCTTCGAACAACCGAAAGTGGTCTTCCCATCCATCTCTCTTTGGTGGCAAAGGTATGATGATATATAAATACAGAAAGAAAAAAGGGTCAGCTGAATGAATCCATTCCATTCTGGAGCCACAGAAAAGCAAACCATTCATTCTTACCTGTGTGACGACCACAATCTTGGTTTGAAGCAAGGTTCGGACGTAGTCATCCGATACGGATTGGCGTCCAGCATGAGCTCGATTGCCTTGAATCGCAGTTTCGACGCGCAAGGTTCGATTTTCCGTGGGATGCTTCCAAGTCCTCATTTGTTCCACCGATTCGGTTGCCAAATTGCGTAACAGGCCATTGTTGGTTTCAATCACTTTCCAAAGATGGATCAGATCCATGGGTCGATCTGGTATACAATCCACTGGGTGATATGGCAATGGTGAACAAGAAGCACCACTGCTACCAGTAGTTGTCGTAGTAGTAGTATTCTTGTCATTGGGACCTTGTGCAATACTCGGAAGTAAATTGTGTATTGAATCGGCAATGTCCGTCCGGACGGCAAAGGGTGCGTGCAATGGAGGTCCTCCTTGGGTGATCAACATTTCGTCCCACATGGGATGCACGATTCGACCAGCGTTGATATATCCTTTAGCCTTTGCCCATCGACGGTACTTGTCAATGCATCGCAGTCCATATCGGATATGCGGTGCCAACATTCGGTCTTCGTCAATGTCAAAGTATACCGAGTCCATCCATGCTTTTCGCAAGACCAGTCGATCCGAGTAATCCACAAAGAATATTCGAAAGGATGGATTGTCGTCAATGGCCACCAATTGGTGAACAATATCGTTAGGAAATGGTTTGCTCTTGGCCGAATTGGCATCGACCATCCACAGATCGATGTCTGGATAGTCGAGTGCGGACGTGCAATTATGTTCGCCGACATCGCAGAGAACTTGTAAGGATAAATAGTCACTCCCATGAATCCCATCGACAAAGACGTGTTGCGTCGGTCCCTTGATACCGTTCGCCGTGATCAATCCAACCTTGAGGGGAGTGGAAGGAATGTAATTTTTTGGATATAAAGGTTGTTCTCTCATGACCTTTTGCCAATCCTCCCGAGTCGCCATGGGGGATTTGGATTCGACGGGGCGTTCTTTTCGTTGGGTAGCCGTAGCATGTGCCGTCGCTTGTATCTTGTTGGCATTCGAAGACTCTTTCGAAAGAAGCTTGGGACTTGTTGTTGTTTTTGTGGTGGTGAGGGGCAGGAACTTTGCCGTTTTGGTTTTCTCCGTTTGATCCTTGGATGATAGCTTTGTTTCAGGTGGCGCTTCCGTTGTACTGTTTGGACTCGTCATGCTTGGAGCGGCTTTGGTTGCAGTCGTGTCGACTTGTTTGGCCGATGCAATGGTAGGAGGAGGATCCGTCATTGTGTTTGGTAGTAGTCGACGAATGCCATTTGGATGATTCCCAGCAGTACTAGTGCCAGCTGGCTTTTGATGCTCCGCCGTGTCTTGGTGGTGGTGGTGGTTCGTAGTAAACTGTTTCTTGGAAGCCTCCATAATGCTAATGACATCATAGTTTGGGACACCGATACCACCACCACCACCAAATAGGAGGAATGGTAGATTCAACAGTCCAGCACCCGAACTAGTATGAGGATGGCTGGAGGAATGATGATGCACAAGCACCTGCTGAAGACCTTGAAGAAGGGCATATATTCCGAAACCCAAATATACCCCCAGCTTGATTGGGTTTGCAAAGAAATGACATTTTGCTGACTTGCGCTTTCGAGTATTAGGGTGTTCGGTTTGGTGGTGTTCCTTATTATTGTGATGATGATGATGATGATGATCATCATTATTATGTGAAAGCATAATCGAGGAATTATTGGTTGTCAGGATGGTTGGATCCGCCATAACGTGTCGGTGCATATTGGGAGTCATGCTTTTTATGAGAAGTATGTACTTCGATTCTCTTGTTATTGTTGGTGCTCACTTCGATAGAATCGTTCTTTTATTGATTGGACATTTCAAGTCGTGAAATCACCCAATAAATTGTTTTGGAAGCTTGAGTGTGTCGATCGTTGTCTCGAAATAAGATTGAACAAGGAAGAGTCTTTCCGACGGTTCAGATAGATCGAAAAGGTCTAATTTGAGAGTCGAGTCGGTAATAACCTTGGAATGGATGTATAAGAGGTGTTGAGAGTTGACGAAGTATAGTGGATTATGACCGATACCCGTCGTGTGCAACCCGAAACTATTGTGTTTTGGAATTTCATGGTTCTGGTCGATCCCCTCGAATGAGAAGGCCACAATATTTAGCGTGATAATGACTCATGTCGCCTTCGTGTCACAGGTCTTTCTTTCCTTCTCCTCTTTACTCACAATATTGAGAGGTGCGCCAAAATAACATCATCATCATCATCGTCACCGCATGCATGCATTGAAGCAATCGCCAGTGAGATATCGAATGTTACGGCTAAATAGATTAGGCTTTTGGAAATTTGTATATGAAGCTAATTATTGTACAGTCTAATGTAGAGTGGTGTATGCGGGGCGTAGCTGTATATATGTGGTTGCCGTTCTTGTGGTGGTGGTGTTCGTGCACAAAGTCATACCACCAGGGCATGAATTGGGGGACGTTAGTTCCAGCTTATTCTCCCAGCATCATGATTCCGAATCATCATCAATCATCTCGTCCAGCTATTGTTGCTTCATGTGTTTTAGTTTGAAATCAAACGATTCCTCGTTCAGCAAAAGCGACTTTCTGCCATAGTACGTGATGGAATGTGGTGACTCGGGTGCATACGGAAGATGATCATCGTGCACCATTTTGAAAGAAAAGGTGTCTTGATCGTAAATCATGACCCTTCCTTGTGTCTTGATATTGGAATAGTAGATTGGGAGATGATTGGGAGAAAGGGGAGCCGTGATGGTGGATGTTCGCTTGACTTCTGAAATACTAGTACCAACAGCAGTGGTACTGGCCACTGTAAAGCCTTCTTGTGATGTGTCGAGGGTCAACGATGGTCGTTTGCCAAACGAGTTGGGAATGAAACTCATGATGCTGGGTTTGTGTGTAATGTCAAGAAGAGTAGATTAGTTGTGTTGTGTTGTTGGCTGGATGGGTATGTTTGCCTATATTGCTGTGAAGCCGCGAGCTGCTGTTGATGTTACCTACTAGTGGAGAAGAAAATGAGCAAAGCAAAATCCCGAACCTCTTGATGTGTTTCCATCAACCACCACGAAACCAAAGGCGTTTCGCGATCGTGGATATCTTTGGATATAAGCTAATTTCGTCGATGACGGATGTCTGCTCACGAATGAGAATCCCAAGACTGGCCGACTGACGGACTTGCGGATTCATTCACTGACTCAGTGATCGATCCTCCACGCACGCGCATACCGGCACATCGGCAAATTTGTGAGAGGTTTGATTTTGCACGTAATATTCGTTATCATCATCATGATGGATCAATATCCCATCACTAGTAGCGTGGCAATGTTGGACATCATCAACAACAACAAGATTGCAAGGAGCAATGGAAAAGAAACGAGTGGCATCTTTGAATTAGCGAAACGACACGACAATAAGCCACAGAATCAATCAATCAATCAATCAATCAGCATTCATCGAAAAGGCCCAATGATGCAAACACCTCATTACCGTATCTTGTTCTCTCTCGTTACAAGTGATGACGCTTCTACCTAACCATTCACTCTCTACATGACAGACCCTCATTTGAACGAAACGACGAAGGTTTTCATTATGACGACAATAAGCCACAGAATCAATCAATGAATCATCAGTCATCGAAAAAGGCCCAATGCTAGTACTGTTGTACTGGGAGAGCGAGACAAGAAGATACGGCGATGAGATGATGCTTCTAACTAACCATTCATTCTCTTAACGGGAGATCCTTATTTGAGCCAAGTAAAGGAGCATTGCCAAAGGACGACACTAAGCCGCTGAAGGAAACAAGGTCATCGAGAGGTGCAATGATGCCAAAACTCCGGAGAGAGAAGGAGAAGAATAAGATACGAGAATGACACGATGCTTCTTTCTGTCAGTTCTCTTGATGGCACCTTCGCTGCAAAGCGAAATGCGAAAGATCGACAACAAGACACTGAAGCAACGATGATCGAGAGGTCTAATAACAAAGAGAATATAGCTGTAGGGTTTGAATCTGAATCTAACATAATAATATCTATAGTTTACATCATATATATATATATATATAAAATTGAAAGGTGCTGGTCCTTGTGTTATCTCGCGTACATATATAGTGGGAATGAAAAGCAAAGAGGGTGAGGAGGCTCCTTTGTTTTCCCACTTAAATCTCCAGCAATCGTACTGTACCAAAATGAACGCATCTTACAAACTGAACTTGCGTGCCAGTAGCTTAAAGTCAAAAGAATTGGTGTTCTTATGAAAAGAGGGTTTTCTGTCATGGTTAGTTAACGAGCGAGCTGAACCATCAAGTGCACAAACCACAAGCTGGTCATCTGGGACCGTTTTGAACCCAATGGTCTCTTCGTCGAACATCATGACTCTGCCCTGAGACTTGATGTTGGAGAAGATAATGGGTGGGTCATTCAGAGGAGCCGAGTCATTGATTGTTGGTTCTTTGACGGATGATGCAAATGCCACTGCTTTCAGCGATGATTTGCTGTCGTTCAAGGAAGATTTGCTGTCGTTACTGCTCAAGCTGCTCATGGTTTTCTGTTTTGGTTTTGTGAGGATAGTTCTAGCAAGTTCTGAAAATTTGTGCGTGTGTCTGTGTGGATCTGAAGCAAGGTGCTCAAACACCCGTATAAAGTTCTTTTTCTGTGGAGGAAAAAGAACTTTGTGGGAAATTCTCGAAGGATTTCCTGTTGAGCCAATCAAACACGAAGCCCTTTCGTTTATTCCAATCGAACAAGAAGCAGTTCGAAGATCGTATGGCTAGCATTCAATTTCTGCAATTTTGTATATTCTTGAATGCTAATTTTGTCGATGAAGGAAGGACGACTTTCAGCGTACGAAGGACGAATGAGAAGCTCCGGATGGATCATTCGACTCCTACCAGTGAACCATTTCAAAGCACAACGACCGTATTATTTTGCACCCCCGGTTCCAACGTACAGTAACGCATACCGGTACTCTATAGTGTGGTGGCACAATACTCGTACCTGGTAGTATGTGAGGGACCGAAAGCTCGACAAATGCTAGGACTCTTGATGCGGAATCCAGCACAAGGAAGAACAGGACACAAGAAGAATGCACACAGATTCAGTAGAAGACTGGTCCTCCTCATTGATTGATTGATTGATGATTCGTTGGTGTTCACTTACTCGTTAGTGATTCATTCATTCCTTTCTACTGTGCTGCTTGGAACAAAACCAAAAAAGAGAAACAGGAAGCCCGTGTCACAAGATTTTTTTGGATTCTGATAGTGTTGTTGTTGTTGTGTTGCCTATTAGCTAGATTTGGATGATATTCTCAAAACCTTTAAACTGCAGTAAATACGATTATATAGGTCATTCCAATGGTACCAAGGCATCATGATCATCGTCATTATTTCCAATCTCCTAAGCGGTACGAGTACCAGGTACCAGGTACCAGGTACTGTAGTAGGCAGTTGGAGTGTCCCACGGTTCGTACTGTCCGTTCGACTTGCTATAGACGCCGAAAACGAAACCCAAATTTGGCGGCAAACCATAAAGTTATTATATAAAGTGTGTCGCATGCGATTTATACCCCTTAAGTAGGTCTTCGTTGGAGTCATCGTTCTGTCGAAGATCGTCCGTTCAAAGTTCCATCGTGATACCCAGATCGAAAAACCTCCACCCTCCAAATCCTATTCTTCTGATTTCACGACTGCCAAATTCCATCTCCGGCTAATACTAGAGAGAAGCCCACGGTCACACGCACAAGTATAGTATAACGCACAAAGCATCTGTGCTAGACACACACAAGAGCAAGAAGCGCCAGTTACAAAAACACCAGCCACATCATCCCATATAAACTCTAAATAGAAGCAACAAGAATCTGTTTCTGATATCATCTTCACAGACTCGTCATTACATCAACCAAAGAACACATCCACAAACACAATAATGAGCTCTCCATTTGATCGAGCCATTCAATTCTGCGAGTCTCTTTTTCGAGGATTGCCTCATGAAACAGCAGTGCCAGACCACCACCCTGATGGTGACCACGACCACGATGACGACGACCACGGTGCAGAGAGTGTCCACAGTTGGGGTTCTTTCGAAAGCTTTCGCAAGTCCATGGCGGCTCCGTTGATACCCCAAGAACCCAACAACAAGGGAGACACTGGTTGTCGCCACACAAAAGATGGAAATTGCGTGTCGAACATTTCCAGTGGCAAAAAGGTTCTCATGTTTGATGAAAAGACCTTTCAATTCAAGCTTACCAATCCTCTGTAATCGTGAACAGAACGACGACGACTTATATGTGCTCGTGAGCTTGACGTACATACATACACACATACACACATACGTGTAATACATACAAAGGATGAATGAATGGATTGGATCCATTCATTCATGCATCTTCACATGTAGTCTGGAGAATGCTAGACTAAATGATTCTACCCACGAATATGACTCGATCACTGGAGAAGAAGGGAACTATACTATGATTTTTAGCATTCGGTATTTACATAGAAACTGCTACTATTGTACGCGAAGGGAGTAGATACGAATTGAATATTGCTTCATTTCTTCAATGGTGACAATCGAAAATGTCAGTGTGGTCATAACTCATTGTGAGTTGTTGTGAGGCGAAAATCAAAATGGGGGTGAATCCACAACCACAACCATCAGACACCTGTCAAGAGCACATGCAGGCATTATCGTTGCCTTCGACCATGCACTCTCTCAATATCCGCAGTATCAACCCTACCGGTATATATGATCGTGAAGTAAGCTCATGTTTCCTTGCCGCCATTAGTACCTACAGTACAGTACCACTCGCTCACTATACGAAATAATGACTCTCGTCAAGAGTCTTTTGGGTTTACTCTCCAGGCGTTCCCCTCCCCTCCTTTTGAAATCCAAGACGTATAAAAATCCACACCATTCATTTTATTGTATATATCATCCTCAATATTTGCGTTGTCGCAGCAGTCATCGCTCTACGATGTTGCCATTTCAGCACCGTTTCCCGCCGCAATTCAGCAATGTAAGTCAACGGACGAACAACACCGACAGTATGTGTGCTTGTCAATGAAGAAATGTCCATTTTGGTATCATTGGTACTCCGGAAAATAATAATGAAGGAATCAAAGGATAAGGGGTTTAACTGAGACAAGAACATAATCGCATGATCATGCAATGCTATGTATATGTTTTTGTAATGCAGGAACTGCTCATCCTTGCCAGAAGCCATACTCATACTCTAGTTTCCATCTTCCTTTCTTTTAGGTCTCGGATTTTTTGCCGTGGTAATATAATGGCATGAATTGTTGAAAAAGTCAGGCTTTGAAAACAACGTATTGACTTGAAATTCCCGAGGACACCATAATCTCCAATGCTACAGTACAGACCGGAGGTGCAACATACTTGAAATGGCCGGAAACTCGGAACAGATACGAATGGTCGTCCATCATAGTCAAAGATCATGTTCTAGCAATATGGTGCAATCTGCAGTTTGACATATGCGAAAATGTGCGCAAGGAGACGATGGATCTATTGAATACGCATGCATCCAATGGCTTGGAAGTCTACATGCACCTCAGTAGCCTATGCGAGTTCCTCGTGCTGAGAATAGAACGATGGTTTTGCGGCTCGCATAGGTATACCGTACCGGTATCATATGCACTCGGATGTTATCGTGAGCGAGCTCATCATTCGAAAACAGAAGGCACGAGACCGGGTCATCGATGAGCACAGTCATGTGTTATTGTCACAAGACGTTTCAAGAGTAAGTCATTTGCAAGCTCACTATCGAGCCCGCAGTGGCATCAAGCCGAGCTCATCGAGCAAGGTCAAGTATAGATGTATATATAGACCGCACAAAGCAAGTTTGACTGCTCTTCATATGATACTGAATATAAAGAACTATCACCCCATGTATGTAAAGCAGTCTAGAGCAAAAACTCGTTCCCTGACTCTTACGACAGAAGGATGAAACTGGAGTATCACCATGATATCTCAGTGTGTAAAAACAAGAATGGGCGAACATGAACACTTTTGAGGAAGTTTGAAAAGAATGCAAAAAAGTATGCAGTTTAGCTTTTTTAATTCATAAAGCAATGTGTTTCAGAATGTGAGGTTTTACAAAGATCTATTCGAACACAGGTGACGACGGTACATTGTATTCCCATTGGGCAGCAGTACTGCCATGCACTACACTCCCATCCCCATTGGTACTGCTGTCGGGACTCGTGGGTGGTGTATCAAGGTTGCCAGACAGTTTTCGCTTGGGCATCACCGGAGCAGACTTATCATCACCGTCTCTTGACATTAGTGAGAACCAGCTAGATGTCTCTGCAAGTTTGACGGCCCTTGGCATCATACTGTCCAAGGATCGTCCTGAAATGTCCAAAGAATCATTTTGAGGAGCATACAGGATGGAGTCATCCTCGGCTCTGCTCATTTGACTGTATTCCATGGTTCTTCGGCGTTGCGGAAGCGTAGGAGGAAGATTGCATACTGGCATAGTAATGGGCCTGCAGTATGGAAATGAACCTGTGCGCGCTGGAGGTTGAGGCTTTACATTCCATCGTTGAAACGCCGTGCTGGATTCTTCAGCGTCGTTACGATTCTCAAACGGTAGATATCCAGTGCGATTGTCACTGAATCCAATCATACCAGAGAAGCGAACAGACTTTTGTTGTGTCATTGTGGAAAGAGAGTGAAAGTCGTTTATTGTTTGGGGGTTCTTGGCAGGAGTAAAAAATTTGTGGCAAAAGTGGACAATTTTCTCTTACACGCTAATTCGATGACGTGAGCTACAGTAATACAATGTCTTATAAGAGAGGCATTGGAGCGATCATCTGACAAATTCTTGTATCCGCCGCACCGTACAATCATCGTTTCGGTGCTCAAAACGCTTAGAGGGGTTTGTAGTGTGATGTTCTCGCAGAAAGACAGCAGCCTTATCTCTCTGGTGGCGTTTGAACAGGAACGAGAGCGTTTGGAGGAGTGATAAATGAGGAACGGTATTGGGGACTGGCACCGGCATTCCATGATCGGAATGAGCATATCACATGGAAGAAAGGAGAACAGGCCTTGTGGAACTTGAATACCCGCGAGTCTTCGAAGTTGGGAGAAGAATGAGAGCCGTAAAAGGGTAAACCCCTCACAAACTACGTAGGAGGGTACAATTTTGTGCTTTTGACTGGGCTTCTTTTGAATACGCAAATGTTCGCATATCACAACCACAGCGCACTTCTGCCCCGCCTTTTCTGTCTTCCTTTTCTGTGTTACCTATGCAGAGCACTGCCACTGGTACTCTACTCGTAGTTCTCGGGTCTTACTTCCTTTTAAAATACCGGTAAATGCCCTGATAGCGCTGCGCTACGCTACGCTACTTTCATTGGGCATTGTATGTCGTGGCACAGGGAGTTGCAATTTAAAGCAAAATGTGCTAGGTAGTATCATACTAGCGCATATTAGTATGTGTGATGGACCTTACATGTCGTAGTGTTAAGTTACTCTAGAGGACATGTATCTCACCCCAGCTGTGGTAATCTTTTAGCCCAAGGAGGTGTGGGCAGATTGACAGCTCACTAACATGATCCAAGTTGAATGTTATGCATGGAATTGTGTCCCTCACACGAAGTTGAATCTTTCAGCCAAGGAGCTTTGAGCTCTTTTAAAGCTTCTAGGTTACAACCCGCAATACTTTGCTATGCATAGGTCTGCTACGTCTCTTTTGAGTCAACCATTCTGTGCTGCACTACTCCCCAGTCTTCGCACGCAGTGTCCGTCAAAAAACGCGGTGAAGCTTCCTTGTTGGTTGCTTACACACTAGATCTATGCTGTTTCGGTCAGAAAGGACCACGTCGATCCTTCATTTGCCTTGGTCAGAGTGATGCAAAGATCTCTAGTCCCATCCTTGGCATCTTCCATAGTAAATGTGCAGTCATCTGGTACAATGGCCGAGAACAAAATACCAGATATTTTTGTTTCCCCATGCACAGCCACTGAAAGCTGATTACGTTTGAACGAAATCTTGCAATCCTTACTCTTGGTGCCGCTTGGAATCGACAGCTTCGCCTCTACTTCATCCGCGGACTGAGTCCAAGATCCCCAATCTTCCACAACTGCGGGAGCACCATCCATGCCATACAATGCTTGGGTTTGTGGTGCCACAACATGAGGCGGACCACCCGAAACGTTCATTTGTTGTTGAACCAATGAGTTTAGTGATGACGCCGATCCACCTTGACCTCCTCCACCACCTTTTTGCCTCGCAACTCGGCACCAAGCCGCGGTCGGAGACGCATCGGATGCTCGAAAATCAACTCGCTCCCATTCGAATTCTTCATTGTCATAGGCGCGTCCAATAAAGACATCCCCGCAGATTGCTTTGGGCAAGCTGTGGCCACAGGCAGTTACAAGTTTGGTGGCTCTTTCGTTTTCTTTGGTAGAAGCACCAGGAAGATCACTCGAATACAAACTGACGGCACGATATTGATTTCCCGGGAGCGGAATACTCAGTGCCATGATTTCACAAGATGGTTGGTCCGAGTTGGATTGTTGTTGGAAATAAGCTTTAGCATTCTTGACTAGAGCGTCCTTTTCCAAGCCACCTGATTTGGAGGCTGACAGCTCTTCAATGGGTTCTTCCGAGTTGACTGGAATCTTTACGTAGGTGAATGTATTGTCGCTCATTTTGGTACAGTTCTTGAGGATTCTAGTGGCAACTGGAGTAGTTCGTGTATAAGAGGGCAATATAAGGTTGCAGTTGTTTTCGTTCGATTTCCTTCTTGTTTGTTGTCATCGCATTATATGTCGTCCCGAACAATTTTTTTCGTGGTCGTCATTGAAAGTTGGCAGTCGATTGAGTCGATTTTTGGCGCGGAAAATGATCGAACAGTTTATAGATAAAACAATCACGATGCTGGATATGCATAAGGAGTGAGGCACAACACATATGGCGGATGAATTGGAAGCTCAGATCATTTCTCTTGTTGACAGCCGCAGCTCTATTATATCAATCGTTGAAACTGCCCGCTGACTTGAAAGCATTCCTCGACCCAGAAGACCTTATTCATCTGAATAGTAATAACAATACCCCCCGAAATCAGAAGAATGACCTGGATTTTCATCAGAATGGTACATCCGTTCGGAACGGAGAGACTCACGCATGGTTGGATCATATTTACTATTTCAATTCCTTTGTGAATCCAGAGGCTGAACGATTCATGGAATCCTGGTTGCAACCAATCAAACATGCACATATCGAACGAGTGGAAGAAATTTCAGGATCAACCAGCAATTATCAATCGTGTGCGGGTGAAGAATTGAGCTGTAAAACATCGACAGAAACCAAACGCATCGGATATACGTATTATCGGTTTGGGTCGGCTTATAAAAAGGGCGGGGTATCATTGGTGTTGCATCACGATACAATGGCTTTGGATTTGGAAAAGCTGCGTCATGTCGTTGAAACAGAGTTGAAGAAGAGGAACATTCGCTGGAGTGTTATTCGTTTGGATTGTGGACAAAATGAACGAGGTCAATCAATTGAAGCTTCGACTATCAAAGGAACCGGTTGGGCCGTTTATCCATCACCAGACACGCAGGATAGCGAATCCTGTGGAACATCCAAGGCAATACTCTGGCGCGACGGAAAGCTGAAAAAGATGACCAAGTTATTGACTATGCTACACGGTGATGACCCTGAAAAAATAAATATTGATTGTCTCCTCGAGAGCAGAGAGTTTGGAAGCTACTGCCTGGATTCTCCAGGTATCATTCAACATTCAAATCAATTGAGTCCCCAACCAACTCCGATATTCGGTACATGGGATTATGGAAGGATCCAGCAGACAAGCAATCAAAATATGGAGAATGTGCATAAGAAAATGCCTCTCGCAGCAGAACACGAAGCTCTCGCAATAAGAGTGGATCGGATCCTTTATGTTAACCTTGCCAAGAACAAGTTGCGGCGGCAATTTATGGAGAGTTGGCTTTCTCGCCATTCCATTCCGTACCAGCGAGTAAATGCCATGTCGAGTTCTGTACAAGCAGACTCGTGTGCTTTTGACAAGACAAAAGAGGTATGCCGAGGAATTGTTGGATACGACCGGACACTTGTACATACCTTGGAGAGCATGGCTGACTTGCAAACTGGCAATACCATGATTCTGGAAGATGACATGCTGCCATCCGATTCAAGATTGGATCGACTAGTCCAAGCTATCAAGATTGTTCCTCCCGATTGGGAGTTGGTTCGATTCGACTGTTGGGGTATGGAAGACTTTAACTTTGACTGGCCCAATCCATTCGTTGCAGCAACCAATTCCTATTCCATAAAGGGATGTGATAAAGTTGATACGAAGAATTGTCACAAAACCTTTTGTGGCGGGTCACACAGCATGGTATTCTCGGCAAGAGGAATTGGCAAACTGAAGCGCATGTGGAGTACCAAGCCGTAAGTTCATCTACTGCGAGTGTCGAAAGGAATGAAGCAATGGTTTCTATACAAATATCCAGCATCTCACCGCACCTTCTCACAGATATCAAAATGCAGATTGCATCATTGCAAGAACGCCGAGCTTACGAAGCTACTGTGTCAACCTTGGCTTTTGGGAAACCATTCATATTAAGTCCGAGCTCTCGGATATTTCTGGTCTGTAGCATGCAATTCAGGATTCGATATCACCAGCAGCCAAGGCTAGCCGAATCCATTATGCTTGCTTGCATTTATGATATGAGCACCACACTACAACTAGTGGAGATCAATACTTCGACACGAGGGTTGAAATTGGACAATGGAGTAACTAATAGTTTTCGTACATTTCAGGAAATCCGCGACCAGTGCTTATTTGCTTTCATCGTTATTTCGTTTGAGCCACTCGTCAAAATCCACGGTCCAACAACAAATGATACCGTGACGTCGCAAGGAACTGTATTCTTTGCGTTCCTATCATAGATATATTATTATTTGGGATTGCGTCTCGCCTTCTCACAATTCGAAAACATTGCGAAGCATCAAGTTCACCAGCAACAACTGCGACTTTCTCTAGAGCCTTCGTTGTACCAAAAGTAATTCGCTCCTGTTCCGTTCATGGTTCGATAGTTCTTCCTCTGTTCGGATTCACATGGCACCAAGGGCTTTTTGTATCTATTTGCTCAAGTTCGTTTTGCCACGTAAGTTGTTGCTTTTTCCCCCCAACTAAATTCTTTCGCTCGTTCATGTTCGCATTCAATCGACACCAAATAGCTTTTTATCCATTTGTTTGGGCTTTACCAAAAGAATACCACCTCGACATATCGAGTGCCGGATATGAGCAAACTGTTAAGTTCTCTCAGAACTGAGAGCTCATACGTCATAGCATCTTGACCACCTATCAAACTTGTGAAGAACAAATTGCACTTCAAATCGGCCACAATTTTTTCCTCATGCCCGTCCCGAACAGAAAACGACTCTCACTTTCCACCATGACACAACAAAAGTCTGTTCACTTCTCTGATATTATTAGCTTCAGCGACAATCGCATTGGATATCTCGAGTGTGAAGACGGCGAATCCAGCAGAGCGTGTCGGGAATCGAATGTGAAGCCACAATCTCCAACGCACACAAGTTCGATTCCACACCGCAGGCCCTTCATTATGCCAGTATGCAACCTTCCGCCAATACTACCTCAACGCCGACACGGTTTGGATCAAATGAGCAGAGCTGAGGATGGCTCAACTCTCTATGCTCCGCAAAATGATTCATTGGACATTTCTGGAAGATCCTTGGACAGCTTGATGCCAAAGGCCGTAAAACTTTCGAAGAATACTATCTGGCTACCGCTGATGTCAGGAGACGGTGATGACATATCTCCGCCAGTGATGCCTAAGCGTCAACTTTCTGGCAACAGTGTGGATATGCTTTCTACACCTCACACGAGCATCCGCGATAATCTCAATGCGGACTGGAGTCGAGCATGTGACTGCAATGCCCGATGGAATTGCGATGTAGTACCATCACCACCACTCCTAATATAGACTGATTGTACTCATACTCTTGAAATGCGCATAGTTCTGAAGATCTCTTAGGCACCTTCACAAATGCAAAACTCTTAGTCATATCGCGGCGGCACTTGGTCGAATCCAATATTTTCGCTCCAAACAATATCCAAAATCTTTCTTTGCAGCCAATATTATACAGTGGCAACCAGTATTGCTCGATAATACAACATCATCGAATCGAATCAAACACTGCTTGAAACCCGCAATCTGTCTTCGCCTTCCGCCATACTAGAGTACCGTATGCTAAGACTTGGTAAGCGTGCTTCTGGTCGCTTCTGAAAATTCCGTGGTCCGGCAACAAAGAAGGCCGGTAGCAAGGAGCACAACTTGGTCCTGATTGGAAGCAAACCCGAACTGTATTTTTCCCATACGAGAGGTCCGATCACGGTACCAGGTATCTGTTGGAACAGTGAGGTCGGGATGATCCCTTTTTTATCCCTCATCTTCAATCTATCCAGTGGAATACCGTGTAAGTTCTCTACCACTGCCGCAGTTCGCTTTCACAATATAAGGCACGAACGAGCTGTTCGTATTTGTCCATTGTGCGGTATTTGTTTTTTATTTATTTACCATGTTCAGGATACGTGTAATAGGATTTAAAGTACCAGCCAGTACCGGGTACCGGATCCAAGAACTAGACTAGCGTATCATAGATCAAATAGCCCTCCCCGTAATGTATCGACCGGACAACTTCTGAAGCGAATTCCTAAAATTGCGCTTCAAAGGGTCATACAATCTTAATTTTCAAAACCATCAAACTATGCAAGCCACAAACAAGAAGAAACGACTCTCTGTTAGCTTCTCTGATGTTATCAGATATAGCGACAACAGCATTGGATATATCGAGTTTGAGGATGATGATATTGTTTCGACGTGCAGTGATGACGAATCCAAGGAGGAAAAACAAGAATACTGGAACCCGAAGCCGCATCCTCCTCCGTCTCTTCCATCTTATCGACACTCACTTCTAAACAGTGAACCCATCAGTATAGCAAACAAACTTGCTCCAATCCTTCCGCAACGTCGAATGGTCCTGGAGCTTAACTTGGACCAGATGTTGGGCGCTGACGATGACTCAATTTTTAATTCTCCGCATCGTCATCCTGTGGACTTCCCAGGAAGATCCTTGGATAGCATGATGTCACGCGCTGTGATGCTTGGGAGGAATACTCACTGGCTCCAGCTTTTGTCAGATGGTGATGACGCATCTCCTCCAGTGATGCCCAAGCGTCAACTTTCTGGCGACAGCGTTGAAATGCTTTCAACACCACCCACGAGTCGTGGTAGTGTCAATTTTACGGAATGCAACCTATCGCCGTGTGGCCGTAATGCTTCCCGATGGCAATGCAATGTACCGCCACCGCCTTTATTCGAATAGACTGCGTAGAAAGACTCCATGAATTAAACTTTAAAAAGTCGGAGCAAACCATACTACTCTGGCTGTTGCAGCTCGACACGTCACATCTTAATAGTCCAGAATTGGGGTAGCTGGTGAAGAGTGCAGATATGCATGCGACTGTACGTTACAAGTAACCTTGTTATTTGTGGTAAGTTGCAGTATAGAGATCTTCAAAATTAGATATTTTCAAATTGACATTATATGGTACCATTTTCTACATGCTCTCATTGGCTTGCTTATGAATCATAGTTTTTGCTTTTAGCTCTTAGCCAGACATCATAATGTTTAGCTTGCGATCCAGAGAGCAATCTGGTTTCTTGCATAGAGCTTGAGTTGGCAAGCATGCTTTACTTGGTCTGTATGCCTCATCCTGCTCCAGCAGTAGCTCGGTTCGATACCTTTGGGCT